TCATGTATGAACTGTCTGGCTTTCTATCCAGAAAGGTTATTTGTAGTTGGAATTAACATAGCTACATAGTTTTTTAGCTGCCTTTATTTTTGTAGTTTTAACAAAATGTACATCTAACGTTGGTATTTCTAAGTCTATGCTTTCACCATTTTGATTCAACTATCTTCTTTGCCAGAATAATCTTCCCCCAGTGCAGTTCTAATCCTGTCACTCTTTTTTTCCATTAAATTTATTGGTGCATTTTAAGTATAAGTTATGATCACATTCACCATTGGGAATTTGTAACTGTACATGATATATCTTGGTTCTTTTTTTCTCATTGAGTTTATTGGTACATTTTAGGTATACAGTACAGTTACATTCATCACTGGGATCTTGTACCTTTACATGACAGGTCTTGGTTCTCAATTTTTCCCCTTTTCCCTGCCCTTCCTTCACCCTCTCCTCCCCTCCCTATTTACAAATACTTTATTTCCATTTTTTCATTTTCTCATGCTTTTTTTCTTTTCCCTTATTCCCTTTCCCCTACCCTTCCCATTTCCCCTACACCATAATTGACAATGTAAATAGGAAGAAAAGGGCTAATCTTGTCACTCTTATGTTTAATATGCTTTTTGGCTCCCTACAGCCTTCCACACTCAAAAGCTGGGCACCTGAATTTTGTCACAATATGGCTTCAACTTACTTTACTGTCTTCTCTCTGAGCACAAAGCCCACTTTCCAGCCAAGGTTATAGATTTTAGATTACTGCTTTGTCATAGACTTCCTCTTCACTTAGTGCTGTGTGGTTGTGTGGATCTTCCTCTTGGAACATCCTCCTTTCATCTCTGCCTAAGGAAATAACCCTGGAAGCATGACTCTTTGCCCCTCTCTGTCTACCCACCTACCCAGAAGCCAGCTCCCTCTTCTCCTATTCTGCCGTTCATTGTGTTGTTGGTTTACCTGACTCAGGTCTTCTATTCTAACTTTGTCAGGCAAAGAACCTTGATTTCTCTCCCTTTGCACCCCCTCCATTTCCTGGCGGAGTGACTTGCCTGCAGTTGGCCCTTCTCTAACAACAGAATGGAAAACGACAGCTTTGTTCTGGGCAAGCAGGGTTCACATTGTGTGATTAATTTGTGTCCTTCTTCCCAGCTCCCAAACTCATTTCCTTCCTTGAGCACAACACAGGAAAGGTGTCACTTCCATGTGCCAACATTTTTGTAGACATTTGAAAACCCACACTGCAGTGTGATTTAGAGAAGGAAATGCCCTGGGGAGTCAGGCAGCAGCAGTAGGTAATTTAAGTCCCACCTACATGCTGTTGCCAAAGGCTATTGGAATGGCAGGGGTTTTAGGAGATGCTGACTGATCAATGCTGTGAAATATATCACTGTTGATACTCAGAGAACAGGCAGGGTTTGAAGTAACCCATGGGGCTGCCTCATACCTGCTTTTTATCAGGTCTTCAGAGGTTGAGACGTGAGGTGCGATCATTTATTCAGATGTCAGAAGACAGTGGGTGAGGAGGGGCTAACAGTGCAGTGTTCAACACCTTTTCTTCCCCCGTATGTCTTTAAAACCAGAGGAAAGTGAGGCTTGTATGGGAATGGTATGATCAAACAGGTCATAGCTGCTTGAATTAGAAGAGAACAGATGAAGCTAGTCTGTCTTCTGTAATGAGATCTGACTGCAAGGTCATGAGGAAAACAGCATCCCGGTTCCTCAACATTCTTCTTTAGTTTTATGGTACTGAACCTGGCTTGCTTGCTTACAGAGATCCATTCTGCAATCCCTGAAAAGTATAGCAAGCAGCCAAAAGCTAGAGTGTTTGCAGAGGATTTTCCATGCTTTGTTTTTTGAAGGACCAACAACCCTGCTGAAATGAAATTGATTGACTCATTTATGGATTGACATATATATGTGTGTGTGTGTGTGTGTGTGTCACATGCAATTTTTAAAAAATAGCAAGTTATAAAAACTATGTATAAATTATTTAATGCTGAAATACTCTTAAGAATTGTACTGATATCTGAAATTTGCTTTGAAATACTGATAAAGTGAGAGTGGTAAATAGATGTGTGATAAATCAAGTATAGGAAAATATTAATAGAATCCATGTTCACCCTAAAATTCTTTCACTTGTCTATATGTTTGAATAGTTAGTTTCATGATAAAGTGATAGGAGAAACTAAGAATCACGGAAAGAAATGACTCCAAATTTTTGTCTGTAAAGAATGAGTTTCCACCACGATCTGCTCTGCACCCAGGCCAGGTGGCCCTCCTACTTTTGTGCTTTTCCTCACCCCACACCTACCCTTAGCTCCTCCTGCCCTGCTATGTGCCCCACAGGGCTGTGTCTCCAGGTTGGACCACCCCCTGCTGTGCTCGCTGTCTTCTTTTGGGCTTTACCAATGGACGGCACCAGAAGAGATCAGAAGAGAGAAGGGCAGAGACTCCCGCGTATCTCTCCTGATTTCTCCCTGTCAGGGTTCAGTTTCACTGGCTGTGTCTGGATTTCTGGAAAACAGCAGCTCCTGGCCTTCCGCTGCTCCAGCTCCGGCCAGCTTCAGCGTTCTGTCTTCTCTACTTTCACTCAGCTCCAGGGAAGTGACAGCATCTTATTGTTGTGGTCTCTGGGTACAGCACTATCCTTAGCTGTTCCTTAAAGCTGCTCACACCTCTGTAAGTAGTCTTTTAATTAAAATCATTTTTAATTAAATGAATTCTTCTTCCTGCTGGGACCCTAATTGATAGCTTTGATAGTAGTGCTTTGTAATATATGCCTTATTTCTTATTTTCCTCCCTAGTTACTCCCATAAGGTTCTGAGTTGTGTTTAGCTGGCATTCAGAACCCTCTGAGGGTCAGGTCTGATTTAGCTTAAGGATACCTGCTCTAAATTCACAGAGTAACTGCCAGTGTGCTGGGAAACTTGATCTTTTGAGAATAAAATTGTCCTGTAGGCATGAATCTGTTGGCCAGCTGGATAAGAGTAAGCTGAGCCTGACATGCTCTTGGCTGTGTGGTGCTGAGAAATGATTACAGTGGTATCCAGGACTCAATAGAAATTTTGTAAGTGAGATTTCTATACTACCTGTGCCTGTGGTCAATAATACTGTATTTGATCCTTTAAAAATCTGTAAAAGGATAGATCTTACATTGTGTTCTACCAAAATAAAACAAAAATAAAATTTAGAAATCGCTCCTGCTACATACAATTTTCTGTTTTAATTAGTGTATGAAATATAAACTAAAAGATAAATAAAGCATCATGCCTGATGCCACCAAATTAAACACCAGGTACAAATTTGATTTGACTTTCAGGTAAAACAACACGTGCTTTTGTTAAAAAGTTTATTGGATCAAACAATTTTTAGTATAGGTATATGTATCCAAAATATTGTGTAGGACATATGTATACCAAAAAAAAGGTAATTGCTTATTTGATGTTCAAATTTAATGGAAAATTTTGCATGTCTAATTGCTAAATCTGCAACCCTAATCACAGCACAGTAGCAGTAATGTGTAATACTATATTTTCTGTCTCGATGTCACTTGTGCACGATAGAAGTGGCCCTGTCCTTTGTGGAAGTGATCTAGTTGAAGAATGAGCATGATATTTAGAAAAAGACTGAGATGAATTTAAATCTGGATTCCATCATTTACCAGCAAGGTAAAATGAGGCAGAAAAATAACTTTCCACATGATATACCATTCTTCCTCAATAAAATGGGTTAATTACAAAAGATTGGCAAATTTTCTGTAAGGTTGATCAAAAATGAATTTACTGTGCTTGTTACACTATACCTGCTAAATAAGACTGTTGTCTTTATTTAAATAAAAATAATTTAACTGGAAAAATTCTAAGAATCCGAAGGTCAATGGACACATGTAAAATAAAGAGGAAACAATTCTTTACCTGTTGAGAAAGTTACCATGAACCCAAACTAACTTCTCTACACTCCAGTGAATTTGACCTAAGGAGAAAGACTGGACTTCCTTCCATTGCTGATTTGAGTAGCATTGAACCATGAGTTCTCAGTTGAAATGCTTAGGTTTTGAATCTGAGAACAATCACCAGCTGTCACTAACTGAAAACAAAAATAAAAACAAAAACTTTATTCATTCGCTGTAACTGAGAAGGTCAGTAGAAATTGCAATCTTCGTGTTTGTAGTTTTGCCCTGTTGTTCAGAACAAGTCACTATCACAGTGGGCAAAAATACACATTTACCTTTAAAGGCAGGCGTTGTGCTTTCACAAAACAATTATGATAGCTGATATAGGCACCCCGTAGTAACAGCACAGCCTCCCAAACTTCTAAGCCAGAGACCTGCATGTGGAGAGGCACAGATTCTGGTAGAGATGGTTAGAACATTTGCATAGTACCCACATTCCCTTATGGAATCATCCCTTCAGTGCACTCTGAAGTGAGATGCCCAGTGAATGGGAAATCTGTGTCACAGGATAGTGTCAGCGGCTTAGTGAGTCACTTGGCCTGCCTCTTGTTATTAAGGATAACTTTGATGAATTAATCCACTATGGTAAACTTGCAGAACATATTTTTAAGAACACAGTTATAGTCATACCTTTTAGAGCTCCACTTTTGATGGCATTGGTTTTAGAGCCAAGGTTAGCAAACTTTCTTTTATTTGCCAGGCAGCAAATGTTTTATTTTTATTTCTATTGATTGGGTCTCCACCATAACCACTTACTTTGTTACTGTAGAGCAAAACCTGGTACATATGTAATATATAGATAAATGCACATGATTTTATTTCAATAAAACTTTATTTATAAAAACAGGCCCAGGGCCAAATTTGGCTTACAAGTTGTAGTTTGCTCCTTTAGAGGGCTGGATCTGCAGCCTCAAATAGCATACCACCAGTTTTGTTTCTTCCTTCTGTTTTCTTCCTCAGTGGTCTTACTCATTCATCACTATCATTTGCATCCACTTTTCTTGGTGAAAGTCTTGTTTCTTGGCAAATATCTTGATATCATTCACAAACATCAATAAAGCTGAAATGTGTGCTTGACATTAGAGCCAGTCAGGGGGCTTGGTCTCAGACTTGTGGAGGGTCTTACTCTAATTATAACTAATCCTGAGGGGGAAAAGACATCATCCAATAAGCACTCCATTTGATGGAGCTAATAGGCAATGAACAACTGTACTGAAAATATACACAGAAAGCCATATAGGCCCAATCTGATTCCTAAAATTTTTCTTTTGCTCAGATTTTAAAGTAATAGCAATCACTTAGTTGCAAAGGAAAAAGAGGACTCAATTATTATCACAGTAATTATTTTCATATAATTAAAATAGAAATTCTTATCCAGTCCAATTTGCATTGGTTAGTTAATTGAAAGAGTTAAAGGCATGATTTTCACATAGACCTTATTATATTTTATTTTCAGTTAAAAAGTGGTCATGAGAGATATATTTGGTAATGTTTGGATGGAAGGCAGAGCTTTTTTGTTTTCAATATAGCCCACCAGTTGGAGTTCTTGATCATCCTTCATAGAGAAAATGCAGTCAGAATTCATTATCTAAATGCAGGATCCCCTGGATTTCCTCATCTTTTACAGGTGCAGTAATTGTTTTTTAGGAAACACCTTTATGGAGTCCTTCTAAAGCAGTCACCTTAGTTTTTACAGAAATAACTTTTTGCTGTTGCTTCTCATCTCTTTACAAAAGAAAATGTCATGTGATTACAACAACAACTAGGGATATGAGGAGTGACTCAGTTTGTACCCCACATTGTTAGAGTTAGGGAGCTTATGCTAACTAGAGAGTGAGCGCACCCCAGCCAGTCCATGCCTGCAGAGGGCAGGAGAGGTTGGTCACCAACAGTATTAGTAACAGCACACTTGACAAAGGGAATGGAGGCTATTGGATCATTCAGAAAACAACTCAGAGAGACTTTCTTTTGTCCAAGTGATTTAAGAAGCTGTTTAAATTTGTTTTGGTTTGTTGAAAATAAATTTTCTGTCTCCTGTTCACCCTCACTTCTTACTCAGGTAGTCTCTTCAGAATAGGCTATACACAGCTTCTGCCAAGCTCGAATGAAACTGCCAAATTTTGCCTTGGTGGAGATCCAATTGAAGAACCTTCCAGATGTCTCTAAAACGCACACCTTCTGTAGTGAAACACACATGTAAAAATTATAGAGATCTGTAAACTCAGGATTTTAAAAAAACTTAAACATTTGTATATATTTATTATGTGCCACGGGCATTTTAAGTGTTTGATACAATAGCCCTTATTTCTCTTGCCACCCCTTTAAAACAGGTATATTCCCCATGAACACTTCAAGGGATGAGGCAGAGAGAGGTTAAGTAACAGCCATGCAGTCTGGGTTAGCACTTATCTTGTTAGCCTCACCTCCTTCTTGCTTCTCCAGGGCTGAAGTTGCTCTCTACAGGGAAGGCTGGAGCCTCAGTCCAGATAAGCACGCTGTTTACATTTCACAGTCTACTCCAATCTGCACAAAAGGTGGGCTCTTAGCAAAGCCCATCAGGAGGTAACAGCATGGGGGAGGTAAAGGAAGCTCAACTTCTCAAGTTCCCCAGTTCCTTGCGGGGAGAGAGGTCCACTTTAGTAGGCTGGTTGACTTCCAGCCCAGAATGGGGTCCTGCCAGGGAATGGGAAGCCTAGAGTTGCACTTACCAATCCTCCTTAAGCCTCACCGTATCACCCTCAAACCCCAGCAAGTTTACCTTTTATGAATAGATTACCACTAGAAAGCAATATCACTGAATTGGGAATGCTTTGCTCCCAGCATCATCATACTATAGTTTACATAGATTACAAAAGAGAGAGCAGATAATCACCTCTGAAGACTGACCATGCACCTATGAAATGATGACCAATGTGTGAACTTGCTCAGACTTTCATGTCTAATAAAAACAGACCAAGAATGGATTGTGCACAGCAGATCTGGCATCACAGAGCTCATCACAGGGACTCCATTGAAATACTAAATGGTATTCATCAGCATCAGGCAAGGGATGGCTAAGAGGATGGAGATTGAAATCTAGGAGACTGAGAGATTATGATAATGATGACAGCTCGTATTTGTCAAATTCTTCAGAGTTTAAAAAAACTTTTGTCTATATTGTTGATACTGATTCTGGTCTAAGTAGTCCTAGGTAATAAGTTTGCAGATAGACCTATTTTACGACCCTACCTCTAGACTTGTGATCTTGGTCAAGCTCCTTAACCTTTCTGAGCTTCAGTTTTCTTTTCTCATGTGTAAAATGGAGATGAATCAGTTATCTTTCGTAGTTTTATGAGTTAAGCCCAGGAATGACTGGTGTGTGACTATACAGAATCTAATTTGCAGCAGGCTCAGTGTGGGTCTTCTTTACATATGTAAATAAATTCAGAAAGGTTAAAAAGTATGGCAGAACCCAACCCTACCTCTGCTGACTCTCAAACTAGCAATCTTTGTCAATATTATGTGGAGGCAGGCAGATTTCTGTTTAATGACTGATAAAGCAAAGGCTCTATCCAGTCAGAATGGATACCCAATCAATGAGAAGGATGTGGATCTGTGCTCTGAGTTGAAACATAAAAGTGGGTATCATTCAAGCCTTGAGTGGGAGCAATGACAAATCAGTGTGATTTTGCTAATCACTTATTTGTGTTTACATATTCATTTATTCACCCAGTAACTGTTTATTTAACAAGTACCATATGCCATGTATTGTGCTAACTTCTGGGAATAGTGTGAATAAGAAATACAATTTCTCTAAAACTCATTAACGCTTTGGAAATTTCCAAAGATATAATGATTCCTGTTGGAAATAGAAATTACTGAGTTTGTAATTTAACTATATGAGATTTAAATCATCTGATTACAGATTATAGAACTAATTATAAAGCTGAAAGGTACATTATGAACTGCTTTTTCAGTATAATTTCTTATTATAGATCTTTATTAATGTAGTTTCATACAAATGAAAATTCACTGCACAGGTTAGATGGTCTGTAGATTTCACAAAAGTGTTAAAGATAAAAGGACTTAAAATGTGTAGTAAGGCTGTTTTATTGTACTACCCAATATTCTTGACATCTTCTAGCACTTTCAATACAATTAGTAAAATAGCTGTAACTTTGGGGTTATAAAAGAAAGATAGTTTCAAAACTGGAAAATATAAAAAACACATTGATGGGAAGGAAAGCATCTCCATTCTGATATCATCTATTGCGCTATTCTCATCTTCTGGTCAAATAGAAAGCCCTCACCTCACAATTGTACTTTGTTTAGAAACACTAAATGATTTAATAAAACTATAATATCAAATAGTCAGCTTGAACGATTCACATTTAAGCTCTGAGATTGGAGGTTTGTGTGCCTGAGGCTTTGGTTTACAAGAAAAAGATAGGCCTCTTACCACTTCTAGGAGATAAGTGGTATTACATAGCTCTATAATGAAGCTTAGGAGAGCCCAAATGCTAATGTTCTTTGGCAAAACACTCTCAGACTATAAGGAAAAGACAACAAATGCCTCCCCTTTTAACTTACATAATTCTGTTGTCTAGACAATATTAAATTAGCCAGTTGTTGAGTAATCCTTCCTCTGGTTGTGTAGACCAGATGTGTGTTATTTCTTCAACATGGGAGCCCTGGTTGGGGGCAGAAGAGTGCTGTGTACAAGTGAGTACAACACCCTTGCCTTACACAGTGCATCAAGTTCTGAGGCTTAGGCGATGCTGACCACATCCATTATGAAGGTAACCTTAGGGAAACCCTCTGTGGCTCATCTTATCTTTAATCCTCAATTCCTGTTTGGTGTGGGGAGGGGGAGTAGGAAGGCTTCTCTTGCTGATAGGATGTAGAACCTCTTTAAACTCCCATCTCACATCAGGCTAATTGCTTCCATATTCACTCTTCTTCTGAATTGCTTTTCTTTTTCCTTTTTCTTTTCTCAGATTTTTTGAGATAAGATCTCGCTATGTAGCCCAAACTGGCTTCGACTTGAGGCAGTCCTCATGCCTCAGCCTCCTGAGTGCTGGGATTACAGGTGTGCATCACGGGGCCTAGCTGCCTTTTTCATTCATGGGTTCTTCTTTCTTCCAATTCTCCAAACTTGAACTCTTGGAGTCGTCTTTAATTTCTTCTCTTTTCTCCTCCACTTGCTGATCCTATGGAACTACTCTTTCATTTCCCTCCCTCGTATTTCAGTTTCTAGGTCTTCAGCCTCTTTTTACCTTGAGGTCTGCCATAATTCCTAATTAGCTTGCCTTTGGTCTTTCCTACCCACATGTATTAGTCAACATGACCTAGTTATGCTACAGTAACACACCCACAAAATTTCATTGGCTTTAAATAAACACATGAAAAAATGTTCAACATCACTGGTCATTCAAGAGATGCAAATGAAAACAACACTGAGATTTCACCTCACCCCTGAAAGAATGGCTGCTATCATAAAATCAACCAATAACAATTGCTGGGAGGGCTGTGGGGAAAGAGGAACCCTGCTTCACTGGTGGTGGGAGTGCAGACTGGTGCAGCCACTGTGGAAATCAGTATGAAGATACCTCAAAGAACTAGGATTGGAGGTCTAATTTGATCCTGCTATCCCCCTGCTGGTTATCTTCCCCAAAGAGTTAAAAGCATCATACCACAGTGATATATGTGCACCAATGTTCATAGCAGCACAATTTGTGATAGCTAAAACTTGGAAGCAACTCGGTTGCCCATAAACAGGAGACTGGATAAAGAAAATGTTTGTGTGTGTCTTTTTTAAATAAAATGGAGTACTACTCAGCCACAAAGAATGAGAAACTAGAGACATTTATAGCTAAATGCAAGCACATTGAGGCGATACTCTTTTTTTGAGGGGGGTACTAGGTATCAAACTCTGAATCTTTCACTTGCGAGGCAGGCGGTGGCACATCTGAACTAAATCCCCATCCCTAGGCAATACGCTTAAATGAAATAAATAGGACACCGAATGTGTCCTATTTGTGTAAACACTGAATAGTTTCTCTAGTGTGAGAAACTAAAAGTGTAAATAAGGACTAAAAGGTGTAATAGATAATGTGAAATAGGGAGAAAAGGGGCAAAGGGGAAGTCGGAAGAGTAGGAAGAAAGGTGCAGTTAATATGAAAAAAAGACAAAATGGAAACAAAGTCTTTGTAGATAGGGAGGGATAGAGCGATTGAAAGCAGGGCAGGGGAATGGGGAATAAATAAGAACCAACATGGATTATGTAAAGATGCAAATTTCCAATGTTAAAGGTCATTACATTGTATACCTTAAATGTACCAATAAAATTAATTAATAAAAAAGAAATAAGAAAAATGTAAGAATGAGGAATAAGCTTGGTAACTAGTAAAATACAAGAAAATATGTCATCCCTAAACCTTCCTTCCTTACCTTTACTTTATTTTTGCCTGACCTTGATGTGTAGCACACCATTCCCTGACTCTACATAGACTGTAGAAACACATTCGGTAATATTTGTTTCTAGCTGGGGGGACTTACTGCTTACAACTGTTAACATTTCTCACAGTAAACACCTCGTTACTATTCTTTAGCCTCTCTGGAGGAATCAGATAGCTAGTATACTTGAGCTGCCAACACAGTAGCAGTAAAGCCTATAAAATGTCAAGAAGTGATATTTTCTTTATTGTACATCAATTCTGACAGAGTATCTTTCAGTAATGTGGATTTCATAGCTGACTGTGAAATTCACACATTATTGGCAGTCCAGGCATTATTCCTTTCTTCATTTGTGAATAATTAAATGTTGGTTATCTCAGATAGACATACTGGATTGCTGTCATGGCTGTCACATGATGACATTATAGTTTCACTTGGGAGATAGATCCTTCTCAGAGCGGAGGGGCATCAAGAGCTGGAGGGAGGGAGCAAGGAGGGAAAAGGGATGAAAAAAGGAATTGGCATGTGCTGTATACATGTATCAACTCCACATAAGGAATGGAAACATTACATACTGCAAACTTGTACAAAAAAAGGAGGAGGGGTGAAGAAATGGGTGGAAGGGGGAGGGAGGGAAAGGAAAGAGGATTAAAACTGTAATGAAGATGTGCTACATATATGTATCAACTTCTCACAAAAATGGAAACACTATGTACTACACACATATACTAATAAACTAAAATTAAAAATTTTAAAACAGAAAAACATTTCAGTGGCTTTAAACGAAAACTACTTGTAGTGTTTGCTGCTGGATCTCACAGAACATAGAAAATTGATCTCTGCTGTACCTTCATAACTCAAGCTTCAGAATTTTCTGAAGCAGGAGAAAACGGAGCACCAAGAAGATATCACCCTGTCTTAGAAATGTCACACAGAGTTCTTGTAGTCATTGGTCAGAGCCAGTCATGTGGCAGAAATATGTAGCCCTTTATTCTGGTTGGACCAAGTAGAGAAATGGATATTGGATGCAGTAGAGGAA